TTAAATGTAAGACCTAAAATTGTAAGAATAAAACCTCTAGAAGAAAACATAGGGGAGAAGATTCATGTCATTGGTCTTGGCAATGATTTCTTTGATATCTCACCAAAAGTATAGGCAATAAAAACAAAAATAGACAAGTGGGGTTACATTAAACTAAAAAGCTTCTGCAAAGCAATGGAAACAATCAACAGAGTGAAAAGGCAACTATAGAATAAGAGAAAATATTTTCAAACTATCTTTCTGATAAGGGGTTAATTTCCAAAATGTATAAGGAACTCATATAACTCTACAGCATAAAAACTAATAACTCAATTTAAAAATGGACAAAGACTTAAATAGACATTTTTCCAAAGACACAGAAATGGCCAACAGGTATATGAAAAAGTGCTCAACATCACTAATCATCAAGTAAATGCAAATCAAAACCACAATGAGATATCATTTCACATATATAGGATGGCTATTACAAAAAAGAAAAAAAAAGACAAGTGTATGCAAGGATGTGGAGAAAGGGAAAAAAAACTTTTGTACATTTTTGCTGGGAATGCAAAATGCTGCAGTTGCTATGGACAACAGTATGACGTTTCCTCAAATAATTAAAAATAGAACTACCATATGATCCACTAACCTCACCTCTAGATATTTACCTAAAAGACCTCAAAAAGGTACTGATTAGCACTCCCATGTTCATTGTAGCACTATTCACAATAGCCAAGATGTGGAATATTATGGTCTTAAAAAAAGAAAGAAATTCTTCAATATGTGACAACATAGATGGACCTGGAGAACACTGTGCTAAGTGAAAATAAGCCAGTCACAGGAGGACAGTACCACATGATTCCACTTTACAAGGTATCTAAAATAGTTGAATTCATAGACTCAGGAGTGGAATGATGGTTGCCAGGGGTTGAGGTTAGACTGAAATGAGGAGTTGCTAACCAACAGGCATAAAGTTTCATTTAAGCAAGGTGAATAAGATCTACTCAGCCATGAAAATAATGAAATAATGCCATGTGCAGCAACATGGATGGACCTAGAGATTATCATATTAAATGAAGTAACTCAGACAGAGAAGGACAAATATTATATAATGTTGCCTATATGTGGAATCAAAAAAAGTTACAAATTTTATTTACAAGCCAGAAATAGACTCATGGTCATAGAAAACAAACTGTGATTCCCGAGGGGAAAGGGGAGAGGAGGGATATATTAACAGTTTGGGATTAACAGATACACACTACTATATATAAAACAGATAAACAACAAGAACCTACTGTACAGCACAGGGAACTATATTCAATTTCTTGTAATGTTCTGTAATGGAAAAAATCTGAAAAAATATATGTATGTATATGTATAACTGAACCACTTTGCTGTACAGCTGAAACTAATATTGTAAATTGACTGCACTTCAATAAAAATAAGGATTAAAAAAGATGAATAAGTTCTAGAGATCTGCTGTAGAACACCATACCTATAGTTAACCATAGTGTATTGTACACTTAAGAGGACAAGTCTCATCTAAGTGCTCTTACCACAATAAAATAAATACCAAAAAATAGATCATTCATTTATTCACTTGTTCATTCATTCATTTAGTACTGCTAGGTACCAGGCACTCTGTAATGTTCTAAGAATAGTGTTGAACAAGGCAGAGGCGACCCCTCCCTTGTGGAAATTGTAGGATAGTAC